TTTTTAGCTATAAGTTAATTAGTAGGACTTGTTTCAGTAAATCATTATTGTCTCCTCAAAAACATTCTTACAATTTAAAAATATTTCCTGGCTTTAAATAACCTGCAAAGTTTGATAAGCCATAAAAAAAGAAATCAATCAGTCAAAAAAAATGTAGGTGTTGCACTATACATGAAATCGGCTTATATATGTGTCACTGCTTTTTTTATTATTAGGTTAGAGACAGTTCTTATATCTCTGTCAATCAATGTGTATTTTAGCTTGTTCAAATGCACTTTGTTTTACAATTTGAAGCCTTTCATCTACCTGCCATTAATTTAAAAAAAGCAATAATTACCTTGTAAAAGTAATGATGAAATTGATAGTTCGAATTTAATTAAAAATAAAATGATTGTCCTAATCATTAGAGTAATAACGAACTTTTCTAATTATGATGACCACAAGAAAGCAATAATAAAAATGCAAATACACTAACAATAAGAGTGACATTGGATCCAGTATTTTTTTTTTATTTTTGTTTCATAATCATTTCACCCCAAGCAAGGCAATAATGTCACAAGGATGCAGAGAGTTACAGGCAGTGAAAGAGAATGAGAAACTTTAGTGAGGAGAAGTAAGGGAAAAGGAAAAGAACAATAAAGGAATAGGATTCAGGAAGACAGAAGATTGTAGTTGATGTTGCATTTAAACTTCTGAAGATTGTAATTGACAGGGAAGCAAGAAATAGGAAGGGAGTTTCACAGGCAAGAAGTGCAAAAAAAGAAACTATTAGAATGGTTGCATCTAGCTAGTTTAACAGTAAAACCTAGTTGCCAATCTAGTAGCATGTTTAAATTCATGCAGTCAAAGAACTGAGGAGAATAGCTAATCAAAACAATTGCCATGAAAATATTTGTAGAAAAGACAGAGGGAAGCGATGTCATGTCAGTGGGAAAGTGACTGAAGTTAGTTTTAAAAATGTATTTATGATTTTAAAAAAATGTATAGCTAGAATTTTAAGTCTAAAAATTAAATCATATAATAATAATAATAATTTAATAATGAAACAGCCAACAGATGTATAAATAAATATTTTTTGCCTAACACTTTGCTATTCATTATTCAATGTTATTTGCCCTTTTTGCAGGATAGGACATATTTTATCTGAGAAAGTATGTTTATCCATATACAGTGTGCGATGGATAAATTGTTATCTGAATTATACAAAAATGAAAATAACACTGACATCTCATTTTATCTGATATATTTATAAAAATTACGTAAAAATATCTTGAAACACTAAAGAGTACATTTCTTCAATAAAATCGCCATTGGCTTCAATCATGGCCTCCAGACAACTTCAGAATCTCCTGCAACTCTTCTGTACAGTCTCCTTGTTTATGTTGGTGAATGCTGCCATAATCCCTACTTTCAGTTAGTCTTTGGTGTTACAAGCAGTTTTGTTGATCTCCCACTCATCTGTGTCCCACACATAATAATCAAGACAGTTGCAGTCTGAGGAGTTAGATGGCCAGAAGTAAGGGGTGATGTGGTCGCAGAAATTGTCTGACAGCCATGACTGGGTTCTTTAGCTTGTGTGGCATGGTGCACAGTCTTGTTGCCAAACATAGGGTCTTCCAGCTGCCACCCTCTTGACCCAGGGCAGCCTAAGTATACCTTATATATATATATATATATATATATATATACATACATACATACATACATACATACATGTTGTGCATTACATAATTAAAACTTAAACGACAACTGTGAAAAGAAATTAATAACAATAAAGCCCTTGAAAATGGCTAAAGAAACTGGACAAAAGTATTTGGGACAATAGATACTATGGACAATTTTTACACTTCCTTAACCCCAGAATATTGAAAAAATTAAGAATGCCAGAAAAACTCAATAAAAAAATTCATTAAATTTACCTTGTCTGTCATATTCGTCAGAACCAGTTTGCAAGAAAGGTTGTTGCCCAGGTACACACACACACACACACACATATATATATATATAATTTATCACAGTTTGTTCATTTCTACCTGTCTGCCTCTGTTTGTATCCATTTACACCACACTGCTTATATCCACTTTTTCTTTCTCTCTTTCTGTTAATATTTTTCTATACAGTGGAATGCAAAAGTAGGTATACACAAAAAAAACGTTTGCACAGAAAGTATTATATTGATTATACAAACACATCAATAATAGTACTTACTGTATACCTACTTTTGCACCCCTCTGTACATTGCAATCTGCTTATATCTCTCTATCAATCTATCTCAGCCTGTTCATATTCTTGTGTATATATCTCTGTGTCTGTCTCTTTTTATCTCTCTCTGTTCATATCCATCTCTCTTAAAATCTTCTTGTCTCTCTCATTCTGTTCATTTCTTCCTCTCTATTTCTCTCTATCTACCACAGTCTTTTCATATCCATCTCTCTGTCAGTCTCTTTTTACATCTCTCTGTTTATCTCAATCTGTTCATATCCATCTCTTACTCTCTGGTAGTATCTCCTTGTCTATCTCAGTCTGTACATTTCTTCCTTTCTCTCTCTCTCTGTTTTGTATCTCTCAATCTACCTCTATGTGTTCATATCTTTCTGTGAATCTTTATCTACATATTACCTCAGTCTTCCTCTGTTATTTATCTATCTATTTATGTCTGTTTTTCATCTGTCTTCATCTTATTTTATTAATATCTGTCAATCAATCAACCTGACAATTGATTATTTAGTAAATGATTTTTTTAGCTTTAAAACAGTCAAGTTAGAATTTTGTGAACAGAAATCCTATTTGGCTGTAACACTTGTCTTCCCTGCTGGTAAGGTAATCTTAGATTGAAAGAGAAAACTTTCTAGATGAAGACATGAAAATAACTGATATAGATTTCATATTATTATTATTTTAATGATAAATCCTTGTTCATGAACTTTAATAATGTCAGCAAAGTTAATAATTCAGAAGAAAATCCTCTTTTGCTAACTTTTTGGTCAAGATCATTATGTAGTATCTGTTCTTTCTATTTCTTTATCATTAATTATGTCTTTCTTTTTATGTTAAGAGTTTTAAATATTTAATTAATAATTTAAAAAAACATAATGTCTGGTAGGGTGTGAGCTCATTTTAAATAACTTTACAAGAGACAGATCAGCACAAAAATGGAGTACTGTTGTCATATCTGTGCAGGAGCTGCCCAGTCTTTACTTTCCAGTCTCAATAGAGTTCAAAAGCGTATACGCGGCCTTGTGAGTGATGAATTATTTTCCACTTTACAACCCCTTTCCTACACATGAAGCATTATTGCTGCCCTATCACTATTTCAATAGAAAGTGTTCAGACAAACTACATTCATTAATTCCAGCTGTTCCAATCTTAACATCTAAGATCAGCTATGGTACACACATTGTAGAAAAACCACCCTCATTCCATTCATATTCCATTGGTAAGATGTAAGTTACTTGAGCAACTTGTTCAACCCACAAACCCTATTTTGTGGAACTGACTCCCAAGAGGATACTTCTCTGTTAATTACTATATTAACCTGTTCAATTCAAAGTTTAACCATTATCTTTCCCATATATCCCCATAAGTTATGCCTCTTACTCTGTAACTTTCTACCTTGAGTGGCTTCTAGGCCTTGGACAGGGTGAATATCATAGTAAAAAAAAATTACATTTAATAAACTTGACATATAAATTACAATTTGGTGCAAATTAAACCAAATAGAATTTTCAGGTATATGTTTTAATAAATAAATTTATCCTGATAGGGTTGAGTAAACAAACAATGGAGAACAAAACAGAAATAGGAAATGACAAAACAAAAAACAGAATACTGGTTCCATTTTGGTAAATTTTTCAAAGAAGACATCAAAATATATTGTTCCTGGTCACAAACAAACTGGTTTCCTTTTTACATTCTTTCAAAGATCATATTTAAATATATTTAAAATTGATGTGAAAAGAAAAGTTTTGTCAATGAGGTTTTAGTATGTGTAACTTTATATATCACCCTTCTACAAATTAATTGAAACAACAGCATTAGTTTCCTTTCTTTCAACATACGGTATGTTTTAGACCAACTGGAGTGACAGGATGTTATCAATTTCTGTTTTTGACTCAGATTAGGTCATTTGCAGTAGTGTGCAGCAATATGAATCTATTTTTAGGGTGTATGAGGAAATTTGTTTGGCCTTGAAAAATATTGCGTTATCTGTGATTGCATCAGATTTTTATCATGCCCAGACACTATTGCCTCGATTGTTGATTAATTGTCCTACAGCCATTGTTTATAATAGACTTTTCTCTAAGGAAGTGTACAAAAATTGTAACTCTACATGAACACACTGGCAAGCCTTACCAGTGAGCAAATCAAAGTACTAGACTGACCTGGAAACCTGATTTAAATCCAATTGAGAATCTGTGGTCAATCTACAAGGAACGACTTTATGGAATGGACATAGGAAATAATAACATGTTCACTGGGTCATATTTCATTGGAAAAATATGGAGAAAGAGTAAATAATAATAAAATTATTTGTTTTGTTTCAATTAATTTGCACAAGGGTGTCTCACCCATGAAAGTATATTATTTTTTTGTTTATTTAAGTTTGTCCTTAACAATAAAAGTCTTTATTTCAATATATATTGATTCAATATCTATATTGTAACTATATTAATATCAATTTCAATTTCTCTACATTTGCCATCTGATCAAGCCTTGGTCTGTTCAGTTTGATCTTCCTATCTTGATCACCTAAATCATTTGTCTTTCAATCATTTTACCAGAAGTAAGGTAATAATGCCACTAAGATGCAAGAAATTACTGAGGGTAAAAGAAAATGTTAGTGAAGAGAGAGGACAATAAAAGAACACAATACAAAAAGACAGGGGATGGCGATTGATGTTACATATGAATTTTTGAAGATGAGGGTTGACAGGTCAGTAAGAAGTCAGTAGAGAATTCCACAGTGAGAGAGATATGTTCCTATCTTTCTTGTCCTCTTTATGTCTCTCTTTCTCATTCTCTTTATATCTGTCCATCTCTCTTTCACCTTCCCTTTATATCAATCTCTCTTTCTCATTCTCTTTATATCTGTCCATCTCTCTTTCACGTTCCCTTTATATTAATCTCTCTTTCCCATTCTTTTTATAACTATGTCACTTTCTCTTTAGATTTATCCATCTTTCCTTGCCCTCCTCTTTATATTTATTCATCTCTTTTTTCCCATTCTCTTTATACCTATCCATCTCTATTTTAAATTCTCTTTATATTTATCTGTCCATCTTTCTTTCTCATCTCTTTATATCTATCCATCTCTCTTTTTCCATTCTGTTTATATTTATTCACCTTTCTTTGCCCCTCTCTTTATATATAATCATCTGCGTTTCCCTTCCTCTTTATATCTATATTAGAATTTTTTGACAGAGGATGATGTGTGTTGAAATCATCACAGTATTTAGTATTGTTGAAGTTATCACTAACATTTTTGTCATGATTTACAAACTCTATGTTCTGTTCAGTTTCACAAACCAATCAATGAAATTTGAATAAGCTGATTTGTTTGGAAAAATACTTTGAAAAAACCCTACTTCATGGTTTTTACACACCCTAGTAAAACCAACTTTATATCCTCTTACCTGTTTGCAGTTCTCTGCAAAAATTGGATTCAATTGGTCAATGTATGGCTATTTTAGAAGGTGTGATGGATAGACTGATAAAAGTAAAAGAATTTTATATATAGATAGATACATCTCTCTTTCTCAATCTCTTTACATATATCATTTTTTCCCTTCTCTTTATATCTATCCATCACTCTTTCTCAATCTCTTTATATCTATCCCTCTCTCTTTCTCGTCAGCTGTATATTTACCCATCTTTCTTTCCCATCTCTTTGTATCTAACACAATCTCTTTCCTAGTCTCTTTCCATCAGTCCATCTCTCTTTCCATTTTTCCTTGTATCTAACCATCTATTTTTCCCCTTCTCTTTATATCTATCCATCTCTTTCACCATCTCATTATATCTGTCCATTATTCTTATCGATTCTCTTTACATCTCCCCATCTCTATTTCACATTCTCTTTATATCTGTCTATCTCTCTTTCCTCCTCCCTTTATATCTATCTCTCCTTCCCATTCCCTTTATATCAATCTATCACTCTTTCCCTTTCTTCATGCCTTTTCTCCTATACTTTTCATTCCTATCATACCTGTATTTCAATTTCTTCCTCTTTGTATATATATATATATATATATATATATATATATATATATATATGCTTATTTATTCACACCTCTCCATCTTTGCCACATTTTATCTCTTGATTTACCTCAGTCTCTTCCCACCAATCAGTCAATCTGTCCATTTGAAAATGTTCATTTATAATGATTGCACTCATCATAGAGTAATTGTCCGTCACTCATCTCATAAGACTTTGCTTTTAAATTGAACCTTTAAAGAAGGCACAATTTTAAATGTGGCACTGAGCCAGAATAAGTTACATCTCTCTCTTTCTCTGTGTGTGTCTATATATATATATATATATATATATATATATATATATATATATATATATATATATGTCTGTGTGTTTAATATATTTTCAAGTGTTCTGATGATGTCCTAAATGAATGAAATGTTGGCAACAGAATATAAAATAAAACATCCAACTGCTTTTCTTTTATTCCATTTCACATACTGTGTTCAGATGTTTTCTATCAGTCATTTTATCATGCATGCATGCATATATATATATATATATATATATATATATGTGTGTGTGTGTGTGTGCATGTATGTATATATATATATATATATATATGTATATACATGTATGTATGGGTAAAAGTCCTATGTGATGCCTTTTGTCTTTCAAAAGGACTTCTCAAACTAATTTATTATTGATGGGGACATGTATATATTTCACACTGCAATGATAATGAGCAGAACTTACTTTTTAGGAGAAAGTGCATATCTGGCATTATCAGTAGTTTAAACAATTCCACTATACTCAGACCCTCCTCAGTCACAATGACTTATGATACTAGTTGACCAATTATCATATGATATATGCATGCATGCATACATACACACACACACACACACACACACACACACATACATATATATATATATCATGGATTGAACCAAGCCTTGTGAGTGAAATTGGGTAGATGGGACTCTTGAGGGTCATTGATAGCTGTGCTAGCACAAAGCCACAAGTCATCGTGGCCAAGGGCTTGAGTGTTCTGCCTTGTTCAAATTATTGATCACACTAAATAACACACTCTCTCCCAGAAAATGACACTAAGGTCTCCTCAGCATAGTTGCCGTATAGACCACAGGTGGGATCTGGGGGTGTTGAGCAAACACAAATGCACCTGAGTGAGCATCTGCAATAGGGATTGACTAGCCACCCTAGTAGACGGGTATCCTCGAATACTAGTGGCCAGCTATTAATATATATATATATAGAGAGAGAGAGAGAGAGAAATTTGGCTAAATTTAAGTGTTTTTAGATGTAAACTAAGTTTGTTGGACAAGTCTACATGGCAAACATTGAACTCACCGACACTTGCTAAGCCACCATTTTAAAACAGCTTCTCTTCAACAACATTCAAGAAATATTTCTTTCTTATGCACTTTTTTCTGTTTTCACCTGTATGTGTGTGTTTCTCTCTCTCTCTCTTTCTCTCTCTCTCTCTATATATATATATATATATATTTTAGGAAATTGATTAAATCTGACATATAATTATTTTTAATCTATCTTGTTTAAATGTTAATTTTGATGGATACTTATATTGAAGTAGAAGCTCTGCTTTTTAATTAAACAATATTTTTTATCCAACTACATCTACTGGCCTGAATATTCAAGAAATCTTGTCCCAAAAATATGCATTCTCCGACAGTATTCAAACTTGCACCCCCAATGGGGAGCTCTCATTGACCAATCAAAAATAATGTTTAATCAAAATAAATTGAAAATAACAATGTGTCGGATTTAATCCATTTCCTAAAAGTAAGTTGTCTTTGTTTACATTAGGATATGATATATAACAGATATGAATGTTTTGAGAAGTGGCAGAGACGTGTCTGTTCAAAAGGCATTATTCGGACTTTGTTTGACCATAACTCTTACATGGCTGGACAGTTAAGCTCGTCAGATCCAATGATGGTCGCCCATTGGGGATGCAGGTTTGAATCCTGCTTGAGGATGCAGATTTTTCTGATATTATTTTTTAATATTCAAGTCGGTAGATGTAGTTTGATAAAAAATAGTGTTTAATTAAAAACAGAGCTTCTATTTGAATATGAGTATCCATCAAAAATAACGTTTAAACAAAAAAATTAAAAATAAATATATAAATATATATATATATATATATATATATATATATATATATATATATATATATGCAAAATATACATAGGTTATAAAGATTGAAATCTGTGTGTAGATAGATATTTATTGAGCTAACCTTAAACTGATAAAAGGATTTGAGCAATGTATATATATGAAATGTCCTTTTTGCAAAGTTAAGCTTAGTAAATAGTATATTTAGAAACTTAACCTTACGCAGTTATCCATTAACATCCTTTGATCAAAATATATTCTTAGTTACTTCATATCCACCTTATCTTAATATACAATTGTCTACTATTAGTAGTTGTATGAAGTACTTACCTTTTTGTTCATGAAGCTCCCAGGTCAGTTCCAGCAGTACAGGTGAAAAAATAGGTGGGCGCTTTCACCTTCAACACCCTCCCCAATCCTGCAACTAGTTCCATCAACCTTACCTGGAATCTTCTGCGTTAGAATAACAGCATAACTTATTGGCAAGTATTCATGCCTTTTGGGGGAATCAA